GCCTGGACCTGGGCTCTCCAACTCCCTGGCCAGCCAAGCTCAGCTCCAGGCTCTGTTTTACTGCTGACCAGGCCCTTTTCCACCCTTTTGGCCAGTCCCCTGCCTTGTCCTCCCCAACTCCTTCCACTCCACGTGGCCTCTGGGCTCATCCCAGGGATGAGCAAAGTGCTGCCACATCTGTCCCCTCCCAAGTCCAAGCAGCAGCCCTGGAGAGCCCCTGCAGCAGGGCTGTGCCTGGGCATGCTGCCAGAAAGGCGTGTCCAGAGTACAAACTCCCCAAATCACTCAGTAACTTTCAGTTTTGACGGATGCAGCACAGCAGGAAATGGATGGGTGGCTGGGACAAGGTCACCATTTCCTTTGGTTTCCGGACAGCTCGACTGGGATCAGGGGACAACTCTAAGGTGTCCACAGAGCAGCTCCTGCTCAGGGTCTCCAGGTACGTGGCTGCTTTTGGGAATCTGCAGATGGAAATTGCCCTCTGCCATTTGCCAGAGCTGGACACAGTTTCCATGTGCTGTTAGCAAAGTAGAACCAAGTCAGTGAGCAAAAAGGGGGTGGGTGGGAGAGCAGAGCAGAGCCAGGTCCTGTCTTGGCTGGGCCCTGGATCAGTGTTTTGACTCTTTTGCTTCCCTTGGTGCAAAGCCTTCTCCCACTCTCAGTGAGGGGCAGGCAGTGAGTCCAGACTCGGTCAGGGTTTGTCCTTCTCGTCCTGCCCCGTCCGTCTCTTTCTTAAGGCTGGGTCAGAAAAGCCAGGGCTCCATATGAAAACAGCTGCCCCTTTCTGCTGCAACTGGAGCAGATATTGCAGCTTGTCCTTTGCTTTCCCAGGGGAAATTCCCACAACTTTTTAGACCAGTCAGGTACTTTGCATATAAAGCACTAACCAAACTCAGTCTGATGATGGAAAATCGATTTCAACCTTCGCCATCGAAGCTTCTTCCCTAGACATTACAGAAAGGGCTGAAACCAGCAATGAACCCCTTGAAAAGTGAATTCATCCTGTCTGGTTGTTGGTTAAATTCCCTTCTTTCTCTTCCCTTCTGCCCTTTCTCTCTCCTTGCCCTTCTCCAGGTTGTGCTCCCGAGAGGAGGATGCTCTGCGGTTCCCCCATCCGCTGCTCTCTGCTGGCTTTTGTCATTTACAGTTTAGTTTTCCAAGGTCATCAGGGCCACTCAGGTAAGAATCACAGAATCATAAAATCATAGAACAGCCGGGTTGGAAAGTTGAGATCATCAAGTCCAACCTTTGATCCACGACCACCACAGTTACCAGACTATGGCACTCAGTGCCACATCCAGTCTCCTCTTAAAAACCTCCAGGGATAGAGAATCCACTGCTTTCCTGGCAGCCCATTCCAATGCCTGATTACCTTCTCTGTAAAGAATTTCTTCCTAATATCCATCCTAAACTTCTCCTGGCAGAGCTTGAGACTGAGCCCTCTTGTCTTACTGATAGTTGCCTGGGAGAAGAGTCCAACCCCCACCTGGCTCCACCCTCCTGTCAAGGGAGTTGCAGAGAGTGCTGAGGTCTCTCCTGAGCCTCCCCTTCTCCAGGCTCAACAACCCCAGCTCCCTCAGCCTCTCCTCACAGCATTTGTACTCCAGTCCCTTCCCCACCCTCCCTGCTCTTCTCTGCCCCTGCTCCAGCCCCTCCATGTCCTTCCTGACCTGAGGGCCCAGAGCTGGACACAGCACTCCAGGGTGGCCTCCCCAGCGCTGAGTGCAGGGCAAGAATCCCTGCCCTGCTCCTGCTGCCACACTCTTCCTGAGCCAGGCCAGGATCCCTTGGCTCTCTTGGCCCCCTGGGCACACTCTGGCTCATGTTCAGCTTCCTGTCCCTCCACACTCCCAGCTCCCTTCCTGCCTGGCTGCTCTCCAGCCACTCTGAACCACTTCCTCTGTGAGCTGAGTGAACTGATTGTTATAAGCCTTTATCTTGTAATTTTCTAAAGATGCCAAGAGCACCTGAGACATTTTTACTTTTATAATAGATTTTTGCAATCTAAGAGGTGAGAACAGTGAAGGACATTTGAGCTTTCTTTGTCCCTAAGTTGTCACTTGCTCCAGCCAACCCCCCAGAAACCTTCCAGCCACTTCCATCATTCCTTGTCCCCCTTTCTGCGTGCTCTGAGCCCCACGGGCAGCACCTGAGCCCTTGAGAACAAGGGGTTTGAAGAGCTTTGCTGGCAGTGCAGGACAGGGAAGCAGAGGGATGGCCCCAGAGTGGCCTGGCCCCAGCCCACTGCCCGTGCTGCAGGGCAGGGTCCCTGTCCCAGCTCCCTCAGCCCCTCGTGTGCCCCGGCACAGGGACGCTGCCAGCGCCATGGCCCGGCCCGGCAGCACCCGAACCACGCGGAGCAGCCGCTGCTGTGCCCGAGCTCAGGTGCCTCAGCAAACTCACACTTCTCTCTTCCTCCTCCGGTGGTCTCTCCCAGGTCCATTCCAAGTCACAGGACCCCCCAACCCCATCACCGTGGCCAAGGGCGAGAACGTGGTGCTGCCCTGCGGCTTCTCCCCAGGGCAGGATGCACTGGACACGGAGGTGATCTGGTTTCGGGAGCAGTTCTCGCCCTTTGTGCATCGCTACAACGAGGGCCAGGACCAGTACGGGGAGCAGATGCTTCAGTACCAAGGGCGCACTGAGCTGCGGAAGGACGGCCTTGCCAAGGGCAGCGCGGACTTGAAGCTTTTCCATGTCCGACCATCTGACACAGGGACTTACACCTGCTTTGTTCGCCGTGGCTCAGATTACGACGAGGCTCAGGTGGAGCTCAAGGTGACAGGTCTGTAGTTTGTGTCCCTGGTACCTCAGATTTACTTGCTCCTGGCCAGTGCTCCTGTTCCCTGTCCTTGTGCCCAGAAACAGTTTCAGGGGGTTGCTTTGGAAATAAGGTTTTATTAAGTCCCTTGGTGTAAAATATCAAGAATGTCTCAGAGAGGTAACATTGTCATAAGGAGCACATGAAATACTTCCTCCTTCAGAATTTTTTTCATATTGTTTCCTTCAGAAAAGCAGGTATAAGAAAAACTCTGCATTCGGTAATAAGGGAAGAATATCCAAGTGCTTTTACATTTTAATATCCGGACCAGTGGATTATTTGCTGCAGTAGTGGCCTCCAGGGCAAATCTCTCAGTTATATGAAAGAGACTGCAAGAAATGTCCTGACTCCAGGTGACATCTGTCTGAAAAAACATCTGGGGTTTGTCTGTCAGTTTATCCACGTCAGGGAGAGAAACAGCCCAACCAGGTTATCCCCCTGACATCCAGGACCCCGCAGGGTCACCTGGGGTCTCTCTCTTTTCCCACAGCCAGAGGCTCTGCCCCACTCATCGCGCTGGAGCGCTACGAGCACGGGGGGATCCGCGTGGCCTGTCGCTCAGCCGGCTGGTACCCACAGCCCCAGGTGCTGTGGCACGATCCCCACGGGCAGCATCTCCCATCCCTCTCGGAAAACACTGCCCAGGACAAGAATGGGCTCTTTGCAGCTGAGAGCAGCATCATCCTCACCAGAGGTGTGAACCAGGAACTGTCCTGCTCGGTGCAGCACATCCCGCACACACCAGAGCAGGAATCAGCCCTTTATGTGTCAGGTGAGTTGAGGATGGGGCCCTGCTGATGTGTCCCCAGAGCTGTGCTGGGCACGGCACCCCCAGCGCCTCTGGCAGGACACGTGCTCAATGTGTCAAGGCCATTTCATCCCACCTGTGCCAACAGCCACGGCTTTCAGCAGCCTCGGTGCAGGAGAGCTGCCAAAACCCACCGGTTCCCTCTGCAGGTGCTGGTTAGGGGGGAAGGTACAACCCTCATTGTGGCAGAGTTTATACAGACACCTGGCTGAAATAAGCACATTCATAACACTGGAGCTAAATGAAAAAAAAGAAGCAAAGCCATGCCCTTATTCCCCCCTGCTGTGAAATCCTGTCGTACAGGTTTAGTATGTGGAATAAATCCTTGTGTCTCATTTCAGCACCTGCAAGTATAAAATGTAATCCTAATTTTCCCTTGTCTCATAGGAAAGCTCCACTGGATGATTGGTTTGGGGCTGGGAATATATCAGAGCAGAGATGCAATGATGAACTGCATTACCCATACACCAAATGGCACTGCAGCAGCACGTGCTTTCCAACTCCA